GGGGGGCTAAGGTACGTTCATTGAATCAATACTAAAATATGTTATGTTAACATTAAAAAGAATTACATTATATTCTGCGGTGCTAAAAATAATTTCACATACTTTACGTGATAGATGGTTTATATGTTGGTGCAAATCAAGACAATTTAAGTTGCAATCAAAATAAACGTTTCGAGAACAATACAGTTAGACGTACAAAGTTTTGGCAAGTCTCCGGATCAAGATTGAATTATATATCTGTGGCGTCAAAGGCAGACATTTTAATTGAAAATGAGTCGGTTTATCCCGAAAAACAGAACCCCAACGGCAAGCAAAAAGAATTTTGAGCTTTGAAAGGTTTGTGTGGTTAGCACTGGCCTTGATACGCCTGTACAGCCGTGAATACTGGGCAATTACCAAAGATCGTGAAAATTTAATAAACTTGACGCAGCAAAAATGCATAGTATAGTATCATAGGAGACTGCATGTAATAAGATGAGAATTTCACAGAGGGAAAGACACTGAATCGAGGTGATACTGAAAGAAGCCCGAGTGGGCCGGCCCGTCACTTATACATTTTAGAAAAAAACAATCACTGTATGAGAGACAATTATTTTATGACGTTTCTGTGACACATTGATAGACGTAGGGCCTATAGGCCTTGAACATTTTGTTCTTACTGAAAAAACAAAAGACAAAAAAGAGGCAGCGTGTGGAGCAAGAATTCAACTTACTTGGGAGAACCTGAATTCATGGGTGACGGGGATTGAAAGACCAGGAAAGGGAAGTTGCGATAAATATAACCGATGTATCGTGATGTACGTTTCAGACCTGGCAGTTATGGTGATGGAAGAAAGATGATGCGATGATAATACATTGTAATAACAATTAAAGTCGACTGCGGATGAGTTGATGTCGTCGGAGGAGAGGAAAAAAGATCAACTTATCCGAATTTCAACTTAAGCGTTTTGGGATCTGTAACGAATAATAATTTAAGGGTGCTAGGACCCGGGTTATAGAGGATCAATTTAACCGAGGATCAACTGAAGCGAGTTAAAAACAAGCTGAGTCGACTTTAATAGCAATCTGCATAATTATTATTAAATAAATACTGCTCATTTTCATCACGACGGGTATTCTTAAAAATACAGCTGTGTCAAACACAGATGCTCAATAATATCGAGAAAGAGTAAAACCCTTTACTCAACAATAGACAGATGTGTTGACCAACAAATACAATAGATCAGTAACACACAGCTGGGTATAAAAGGATGTTCTCTGTTTCCTTAGTTTTATCACTTAGATCTATATAACATGTAAAAGTTAAGTGTTTTTGTGTGTTAACAGTTATGCGATCTATCGAATGCACCGGGCAGAAGAGGGGAGGGGGGGGTACACAACAGGTCACTAACAGTACAGCAAACTCTTAGTATACGCCCTACTCGTGTATAAGATCTAGTGATAGCACATGTACATACATGTATTTTGTTGAATTAAAAAAAAAAAGTGTCAGTAGTCAGTGTGCCCAACAGCTTTGCGACGCGTAAGTATAAAACCTGGAATTAAATATCAAGAGTCTAGCAAAATCTAAGCTGAATTAATCGTTCTGTTTCCTTATATACATGCATGCTGAAAAGTAAAGGAGTAGATACGATGATATTTACAAAAAAAAGAGGAAGAAAAAATACGATGCCCCTGTCGTTGTTGTTGCTTTCTAACCCGCGATATTCAAACTACTATGCACGTCTTGGTCTTGTTTACGCAAGAACATTTATCCGCCGACCAATCTGGGCATCGATGTTCACAAGATCTAGTTTTGTTTTCTTTTGATCCCGAGCCCCGAATTTTGACCTGTGTCTAGGCTATTTATAGAATGAATCTCCGTCTTCTGGGAAAACGCTTTCTTGACTTGAAAGGCTATTCATACTCTTCTGTAATTAACATAAAAGTAACAATGTGTTATGTTATGTAGGTCTGATTTCCCTTTTTGATCAAAGTTGTCTGGGTTGAGTTGTTCAAAGGGGCTTCATTGGTTTGTCACAAAGACTTAATGAGATCCACAAGGTCGCCATTTTGTAACCGTACGTCACTTCCTGGTCGCCATTATTCGTTCTCGACCTTCGTCGTAGCTGCTACGATGGAAAACCATGAGGATTATTTGGATGCATTGACTGGTAAGTTGTTTTTCCGAGGATTATTTTGAGTCAGTATTGACTTCTTTTTTTGTTTTCTGTTGGCTTCAAATCTCTTTTGTTCCTTTGTTTTCAGCATATGCCAGAACTCCGGAGTCGGATGTTCCCCCAGTCCTGGACCAGTATTTGAACGGTGTGGCAAAGAATGGAGAGACGCTGTGAGTGGTTCTTTCGTTCAGATTGTGTTTGTCAATTCAATAAGTATAGATCTAGATCTAGATCTAGATCTAGATTTAGATCTAGAATCTAGTCTGCCCTTATTTAGATTTAATCTAGATCTAGATCTATAGTGTGTTAGAGAATAGTTATATATGGTACTTTGAATTGACGTTTAGATTATTAGTAGGCCGCCTTTTATTAGGCTAGAATCTATAAATTTAGATCTATTTTACTATTAGTTGATTAGATTAGTGATTTATATTGTCAATAGAATAGAAGAGAGAGTCTACTTTATTGAACAACAGTGGTTTTGTTTTATAATTTTAATTTTATAATTAAGATTTAGTTCGGGAGGACTTCCGTAATGAGCGACCACTATGAGTATGAGACAGAGTAGAATTTAGGGGTAGGACTAGGAGGGGTAAGAGTAAGGGTAGGGGTATGGCCAGTCAGTATGGGAAGGGGTATAGTATGGCCAGTTGAGTAGGGTTTGGGTTAGGATTAGGGTTAGATAAAGGCCTCTTCTTTATTGTTTGTTGGGGTGGTCGCTCGTTACGGAAGTCCTTCCTTTAGTTAGACTTTAGTTCTTCGGTATTTTTTTACTTTCCCTCCCGTCTCACACTTTTACTTTTAGCTGCTCTGCCAGTTGCCCATTTTCTACTAGAGTCTAGATTCTAGATCTAGATCTAGATCTAGATCAAGATAGATTCTCCAGATCTCTAGATCTAAATATTGATGTGCTGAACACGAATATCAACTTCATTTCC